CCCTTTTCATGCCGCCCCCCCCCTGCAATGGCTCTGCGCCCCCCCTAGGGGGCGGGCCCCACACTTTGGGAACGTCTGGTTTATATTATTCTTCACAATCCACAGCAAAAATTGTCATGAGAAATGGGGTATTGTTTTCTTTAGCACATGTGTGTGCAATAAGTAAAAACGGTAGTATCAAAAATAATAATTCAGTACTTACTTACTTTGGTTCATGATCACGTGACTTGGGTGTTTGGAACTGCAATTTTGAGCAGCGTTTCGAAATAGTCTGTGATTCAGAATCTTTCGGGGTTCAAAATGTCTGTATCAAGCTTCTAATCCGTACTTTTCTTTAGTTAATTGTCATGTCCTGGTCATACATCTCCTCATCTTGTGTGCTCTCTAGTCTATCCATCCTGCATATGGGTCCTCTCTACCAGCCAGATTTTTCACACTGGGTGTCCTTCCAGACACAACCTTATCCGGGTTTTGCGTCTCCTCCAGTTTCAAACCACAGATCTTGTGTCTTAAGCAAATGTCTTAATTAATACACTTTGGAGTTAAGAAAAAAAGGCTGAAAGGCTTTGAAACAAAAGCTAGAATTTGTATTGGATTGATCACATATTGACTTGGCTTTTTGATTCTACTTGAAACTGCAGGAACCTCAGAGAAGGACAATAATGGAAAAAAGGAAAAGGTAAAAAAAAAAAAAGTCACTATTTATTTAAAAAGATATTAAAGACAATTTACTTTATTATACTGTTTAACAGTAGAGTTTCTTTACATAGACTATATGTTTATTTTCTTATTTACTGCAGTCATGGAATGATCCTGAAGATGGCAGAAAGACAACGTCACATAAAGAAATAAGCCCTTTTGTCAAACTTCACCTTCAAGACAAATTTCAGCAGTTGTCACCAGCAGATTTTCTTCAAATATGTTCACCTGTGAAACAGCACCATGTGACATCTGAGAAAGATCTAGTTCACATTTTTCTATACAGGTTGATTATGTTAGATTACAGGGCCAGATATATTCCTGTAAGACCAGACAGTCCTGAGGGGACACATCCAAAGCCTGTTCAAGACAATGAGACCACTGAGAATGATTCCAGTGATTTGGAAGCTTTATTAAGCATGAGTGCAGAAACAGATCTCAACAAACAGACTCATGTGCATCCAATGGATGTTCAGATGGCAGTATTTCACTGCTCAGACAGCTTTCTTAAACAGATTATGATTACAAAGCTCTCTCAGTGTCAGTATGCCTTACCTTTGCTTGTCCCTGACCCAGTCACAATGGAGATCGAGTGTCCTCTGTGGACTTTCAGACAAATAACAAAAACCTGGAAGGTAACTGAAATCAAAGACGGCTCAAACATTGTCACTATGAAGAGTGTTCCAGTCTGCAAAGCTCGGACACCCTTGGTGTCATTTTTCCGCCTGGGTTCTCTGTCAGTGTCTAAATCTCAGCTGATCAACACTTTGATCAACGACCGTCACAGCACCTTCTTCCACAGAAACTGTCCAGGAAGCACCAAGTCTCGCTATCTGATGGATGGTGTGGCAGAGATCGCCTGGTACTGTCCTGCTGGAAAACCCAATGATGCCTTCAATGACTGCATTTCCTTTTGTAATCTTCATGGTGATGCTCTGTTGACTGAAAAACAGCGCGACATACTAATTGAAAAATCTTCCATTAATATTTTTCTTGTTTCATCTCTGAAAAAACATGAAGAAAGTCGATCACTTATATCACCTCTTTTTAAGTCTCACAAACCTCTCATTTGTCTCTCTGTTGATGACAGCTGTTATGTTGTTAAGACAAAACATGGAAAATATATTATGGGTCTCAAAGACAGAAGCCAGTCAGATATATCTGAAGAACTGAAACAGATCATTAGAGAAGTTTTGTCATCTCTAGATGATTCCAGCGTAAAACCACCCTTCCAGCTTGAAACCATTGCTGAGGTCTCTGGAATCAAAGTGGATGAAAGTGACCAAGCCTTTAAAGAAGGGAAATCTGCTGCTAAGGAAATAATGGATCTTCTTTCAAAGGATAACATGGATATCTCAAATATCAAAGATAAATTCCTTCCTTATCAGGGCCATCTGTGGCATCAGTGGATCAAAATACACAAAGAACTGTATTATCTCAAAGGGGATATTGAGAAGGAGAAATGTAACAAGCAACAGGAACTGGTGAACATACGTCAGAAACAATGTGCTGCTTCCGGCGAACTTATGGAGTTGTTCATTAAAAGTCTCTCACTATTGTCACCAAAAGATAAAGAATATTTTCTGAAATGGATTCAAATCTTAGTGGACGATCTCTCCACAGATGATCTTTCTGGTATTCTCAAAAGCTATGATGAAAAGTGGTCTGAGATCTTGGCTTTAAAAAACAAATCTGAAGAATCAGAAGTGTTGGCAGACAAGCAGAAAAAATCTGACTTGTTAATAAAAAAACAAAGTGAGCTTGAAAAAATATCCGAAAAACTGCAGTCTGCAACTTTTGGTTTGGAGCACATCTTCAGAGAAATGGGACAGATCTATGAAGCTCATAGAGCAATAGAAGGAGAGAGCAGACACACTGACTGGTCTAAATACCCTGAGCTGGCTGCACAGCTGATGATATATGGACACCCGATGGAGCTGATGGATGGTGATGCAGGTCACATGCCTTTAACATGGATCTCCAGTCTTTTAGAGGAAGTCATCAAGAAGCTGGGGGACCAGAGAGTTTTTGTGTTGTCAGTTTTGGGCCTACAAAGCAGTGGAAAATCAACAATGCTGAACACCATGTTTGGGCTGCAGTTTGCAGTGAGTGCAGGCAGGTGCACCAAAGGTGTCTTCATGCAGCTGCTCAAAGTATCAGAGGAGATGAAGAAAGACTTGAAGTTTGACTATCTTCTAGTGGTGGACACTGAAGGACTGCGCGCTCTTGAGCTGAAAGGTACCACCACTGGTTGCCATGACAACAAACTGGCAACATTTGTTGTTGGTCTGGGAAACCTGACACTGATCAACATTATGGGAGAGAATCCATCTGAGATGCAGGACATCCTGCAGATTGTTGTTCAGGCTTTCATGAGGATGAAGAAAGTTAAACTTTCTCCCAGTTGTGTGTTTGTTCACCAGAATGTTACAGATGTTGCAGCAGCAGAGAAAAACATGGATGGAAAGAGACGCCTGCTAGAAAAACTGGACCAGATGGCCAAACTAGCAGCTGAAGAGGAGGATTGCGATGCAGACTGCTTCAGTGACATCATTAAGTTTGATGTCCAAAAAGATGTAAAATACTGTGCCCAGTTGTGGGAGGGTAGTCCACCCATGGCTCCTCCTAATCCAGGTTACAGTGAGAGCATCCAGGAAGTGAAGAACATCATCCTCTCTAAAGCTTCACAGTCTGCTGGGATCACTCTCTCACAGTTCAAAAACAAAGTCCAGGACCTGTGGAGTGCCCTCCTCAATGAAAACTTTGTTTTCAGTTTTAAAAACACACTTGAAATTGCAGCATACAGAAAACTGGAGTCCCAGTACGCAAACTGGACCTGGGCCCTGAGGAGCAAAATGTTGACCATTGAAAACCAACTTTATAACAGAATTGAAAACGGAAATCTTGACAAGGTGGACGTAAATTATCTTAAAAAAGAATCACATGAAACACATGAAATAATCAAAACGGAAATGACAACATACTTTGAGGATGACCAAGAGAAAGAAATCTTGGCTCAGTGGAGAGGCCGATTTGAAACCAGAATCAAAGAGTTTCATGATGAACAGGTGAGCACAGTAAAAAGAAAACTGGATGAAGTTATTCAACAGAAGAAGGCTTGTGACAAGCTAGATGATAAGAAGAAAGAGTTTGAGGACAAGCTGCTAAAGAAGAGCAAAGAGCTCGCTCAGCAGCTGAAGGATAAGGTCAATGATGAAGAAGAGCTTAACAAACAGTTCAGCTCTGTTTGGAGTGGCTTGGTTACTGAATTAACAGCTGATATAAAACCTATAGAAGACATCAAACTGGAAGAAGATCAGTTTACTATCCTTAAAGAACTTGGTTTTGAAGAGACATTCATAAATGACTGCAAAAAAAATGGCAGATACAAGAATATATCAAGGCTTGGAGATTACTCAGGTTATGTAAAACAAAAAAAACGAAAGAAACCTTTTATATGGCTATTTAAGAATGCATTGCCATATGACAACCAGCAACATATCAGATCACTCATTGAAAAAGTTGAAAATGAGTCACTTCATGCAATAACAGAAAAGCCTGTGGCTAAAAGTGGCTACAAACTAGCTTATTTGCAAGAAGCTGCCAAACAGGTAAAACAAGAAGTGGACAATTTTCAGACAAAGGAAAACTATACTTTAAAGAAGGAGTTTACAGTCGATCTCATACTGTGTGTGTTCTCAGAATCAGAGCATTGGATTCTAGACTCCCAGAACAAATTCAGAATGAAGCATGATCCACTCATTTATTTACAAAACAAGAAAACACAGTATTACAGTGTTTTTATAAGCTTTTGTAAAGGAAGCACATCTGCTGTTGTGCTTGGGAAACTGATCTGGGAAAAGCTGAAAGCGTCCACTGTTGAGGCTGCCTGTAACAAGACTGCCATTGGTCTGGCTGGAGAGATGAGGTCTAATTTCCCAGCATTCAATGGGAACAGGCTGAACCTGGAGAAACATGTGCTGAAGTCACTCGCTGAGAATGAAAACTTTGATGATTTCATCACCTACATCAGAAATCCAAGAAGACAAACAGAAGCTTTTATAAAAGCAGAAGTAAAGAAATACATCTTCAGAGATCACAAAGATAAAACTGTGAATAAACTCAAGAACAATGCTGAAGGCTTAAACACACTTGTGACTAATGCTTTATCTACTGCAACACAGAAAGTCCAAACTGAAAGAGGAGACATAAACATGTGGCTGAAGAAATTTTCTAGTTTGCTAAAAGGTGAGCTAACGTTTGAGACCATTTCTTCTGAAAATTTCAGTGACATACATGATTTTGAGTTTCTGAAGGAAGAGGTAACAAACAGATTTACATCCATCAATCATAAGATGAGCAGCCTCTCATTGGATAAGCTGAAAGAATCCAGGCTGAAGCCTGATGAAATCCTCATTGATCAGCTGTGTAACTGCTGCTGGGTAACGTGTCCATTCTGTGCAGCTGTTTGTACTAACACCATTGAAGATCACAGTCCTAATGACCACAACGTCCCTTTTCATCGACCTAAAGGAATTAAAGGATGGCACAAAAGTGGCACAGTGGAATTCAGCATCAGTTTCTGCACAACAAGTGTTGCAAGTGATGGCAGATTTAGACCTCATGATTCAGAGGAATACTTTCCCTATAAAGAGTACAGAAGAGCTGGTCCAAGGTATGCTAACTGGGAAATCACAGCTGATCAGTCTGAACTGGCGTACTGGGAATGGTTTGTGTGTCGATTTCAAAATGAGCTGGAAGGGTACTATAAGTACAAATTCCAAGGAAGAGGAGATATTCCCAGGGAGTGGGGAAAAATCCCTAAGGAAGAAGCTATTAGAAGTCTGGGTAAAATGTGTTAAAGCATCAAAGAAACAAAACCCTTCAGTTTTGGTTTCACATCGTAACTCATTACTCAAATTAGAAGAGTTTTTAGTGACATAAGTAAAAGGATGGGACTTGTAGAGATGACAGCATTACTACAGAAAAAGAGAAATAGTGTCTGAGATTAGACTTTTTTTTATGTGATAATGGGTTACCTTTTAAAAGCAACTGTTATGAATATGTTATTTTACAATAAATACTTTCTCTGTGGATTGTACTGAAACAAATAACTTTATTGTATTTTTTTTCTTTTCAGGTTCTTTTGTTCAGGTTGTTATAGATCATGTAAAATTATAATTCTTTATTCCTTTTTTTGTCTTTCACATACAATAATAATAACAATAATAATAATAATAATAATAATAATAATATATTCTCAGTCATCTGAATTTATCTCAAATTGATTTTCTGTAATGTGTTTTTGTCATCATGTTTAAATAATGACATATATTGATCCTCATATATTGATTCTCAGTTGGTCTAATCACAGTTAGAGAAACAGAACTGTTTTCTTATATTACATGAAAATTCATTCGCAGATTTAAAGCTGATTTGTTATGTTTACCTAGTTGGTACATTTAAAACTAGTTATCCAGACAGAGTTTACTTAAATTAGACTTTAATTGTGAATTTTATCCTGTTTTTCTCCATTTTATTCTGAATATTGTCCTAACTATTGTTTTTATTATAAAATCTTTTTACAGGTTTTTATAAGTATGCCATTTAGTAACAAGTATAAGATGAACATTGGTGTTATCTGTGTGCAAATGCGTTATGATAAAATAAAAGACTTTCTTTCTGACATGCAGTGAAAATTGTTTGACATTTATATACTTAGAACTAAGTCTTTCTACTTTGTGTTATTGTGGGTTCTCTTCAGGTACTTTCTCCCACAGTCAAAAGACATGCAGTAAGTGGGGACAGGTTAATTGGTAATTCTAAATTGCACTTAGGTACCCTTAACATGGGAAAGCGGAAGATGATGGATGGATGAACTGTTAAAGGACCTGCAGTCTTCATCATTCAGCACCTGCCCTTCGTCTATTGCACTTTTATCTTTGTGATTGCTAATAGTTATATGTTACTTGGTAATTCTTGTTAGGCGGATGTGATTACTATGTGGTGGCTAAAAGAAACAGAGTTAGGGGGCTTTTTGGTGTTGTGTTGTGTTTGTTTGTTTAAATTATTATAGGTTAAGGTTTTGTAGTAATAGTTTTAATGAAGTGCGTGCCAGTAAAAAAAAGACATGTTCAAGAGCAGAAGGGGTGGGCATTTGTAAGTACTTATCAGCTGTTTTTACTGATTTATAGTCTAAATTTAGTTTCTCCCACACAAAACAGCTTTCAAGAACTTCCACTGACAAATGGCTGCAATACTAGAGTATATAGTCGCAACGGTGGAGAACTTGTTCAGTAAACCTACCAGTACAACAGCATACAAAACTTTATTACAAGTTCAGGTCTTCCATGAAAAATTCCTAATTTAATAATTAAAGGATAAAATTAGCTTGATAAATACCGATGTTTTCTCAACTACCACTTCACCTGTTTTGCTCAAAATGACGTCATAGCTAATGATGATTTAAGGACATGTCAGTCAGACCTTTCTCCGGTTGTATTTTGATGCATTATGATCTCTTCCAGATTCTGGCACAGATTTAACTAACTATAAATAGGCAGAGTAACATAACTATAAATGGACAGAGTCAAAGATAAACCAATATTGATTATAAAATAACCCTAATCTTGACAGTAAATAAACTTTTTTTTAAATTAACGGTCAAAAAAAATTCCTAAAGAAAGCTATTACAGCATTTTCCACATTTACTCATAAGGTTGACCTCCCGATCTACTGCCATTGATAAAAACTGACGAACTAATAGCACCCCAGAAGTTCAGAAGAAGGTCTCTGCTGCCCCCTGGTGTTTGGCTGTAGTATATGCCTGGATAGAAGCATTCACAGTCTCTACCAGTGTTGACATGCAGGTGGAGCCCTGAGGTTCCTAAACAAGATCACAAATCACTCGCAGCTTTCACACAACCGCACGCCGTCCATAAACTCGCACTTACTGTCCTAAAAAAAGAAGAAGCAAAAAAACAAAAAACAAAAAAAGAACAGTTTGTTGGGGGTGATGGTAAGAGGGTTATGCACTGCATTTTCATCATTTATCCCCCATCATCCAACATACTGAAAGAATAGGTTCCACCTTAAACAGGCACAAGTGTGTGGCTCCAAAGATATGTGCTGATTTAAGGAAATAAAGCAGTTAAAATTAAAGTTAACACCTTGCTCAAAATGTGCCTTAAAGGAATAATTAAGCATATAAGTACAACTGCTCAGTTTATGCTTGAGGCAAATGTTGTGTTACCTTACTTAACACAGGTCTGTGTACTTTGCTGCAACTCTGGTAGTCTTCCTTTGTGGTAAGGCCAAAACCTCACTGGGTGCCACAGTCCTGATTAATTCTGCTCTCTGACATTTCATGTGGTTTCATGCACTTATATGGACTGAGACAGGAAAGACGTTTTATTAATGAGAACTCATTTAGAAATAGAGGCAGCATTTTGATGCAGCTGGTCTCTGCTTGAACCGTGTGGTTTTTACATGTTTTGCATCTAGTTTTAATTAATGTAAAACTGATTTTGATCCTGTGTGTATATTATATGCAATGAGAAAATTTCAAATTGTATGTTAATTAATAAAAAAAAATGCATGATTAAGATCGAAGGTCTGAAATGTTGCGTCGTTCTGATCATAAACTGGGTTTCTCAGGATGCCTTTCCCCTCATGAAAGTTAAAAGTTGTGGTGTTGCCCTAAAATAAAGTCCATGCTTTGTGAACTTCAACATCAGAGGCCACAAGCTGGTTAAAGGTTATATGTAAGCAGGGTGTGCAAATGTTGAACTAAGATAACTGATAATCAGTGAATGGCTGGTGTTATTTGATACCGTATCTCAACAGATTTTGTAGGATGGATGAATCAAAGAGTACAGTGAACTTATGTTCAGCAAACATGATTTGAGCTTTGTAACTTAGTTATCCTGCTAAAAAGGTAAAAAGATGCCATCAGAAGATGGGTAATCAGCAACAATACTTAAGTAGGTTGTGGGATTTTAAACAAGGCAGGATGCTTTGTTGTTTGCCACTGCCATCTGAATGTTGCAGTAGAAACTGAGACTCATGAGACCAGAAAATCGTTTTTCAGCCTTCTGTTGTCCAGTTTTGGTGAGCTTTTTAGAATTGTAGCCTCAGATTTCTGTTCTTAGCAGACATGAGTGGCATCCAATGTGGTCTTTTGCTGCCATAACCCACCCACCTGCTTTGAAGTTCAATGTGTTCTGCACTCAGAGATGCTCTTCTGCATCCTTGAGATGTAATAAGTTGCTGTCTTGACTTCCCGTCAGTTTAAAGCAGTTGAGCCATTCTTCTCTGAAATCAAGTGCACATTTTCTCCCAGAGAACTTGACCATTCTGTGAAAACCCAGTTACTGTAGAAAAATCCCACATCAGCATTTTGTGAAATACAAAGATATATCCGGCAGTAACAACATCATATTGAGTTACTTAAATCACCTTTCTTCTTCATTGTCTAAGGAGCTTGGAAAGAAAAGCGTCTGGACTTGAAGTTGCTTGAAGACGTTTCACCTCTCATCCAAGAAGCTTCTTCAGTTCTAAGGTCAAATGGTGGAGAGTCCCAGATTTAAACCCTGTGGGAGTATCCCCCCAAGAGAGAAAAAAGGACCCCCTAATGATCCTCTACCTAATCACGTGAGCCAAGGTGCGAAAACGTGTGTAGGTCACAATCACCCATGGTTTCAGGTGAGCTCATTGGGAAACCTAGCCCCACCCTATCATGGGATTTCCTGAGGTCAGATGGCCCAGGGTATGAGTGGGCATTAAGGGGTCTGGGAAGGGATCTCAAAACTGGATTATAGATGGCAGACAGTTGGTGTCATAAGCCACCGCCTCTGTTCAATGATGGTCGCTCACAGTGGACATAAACGGCCTTTTTTACTCCTTTCAAACCATCTGTCCTCTCTGTCCAAAATGTG